CCGGAGCAATGGTGGCGGTGTAGGTGGGGTGAGGTGAGGTGGGGTGGGGTGATTTTATTATATTACAGTTAAATATTTAATTTAATATAATAATTATGAAATGTAATTAATTAATTTCAGAAAAACCTGATTTTTGTAATTTTAAACTATTGGGCCTGATTTTTAATTTTGGAATAGTAAACACCTGACCCATGAACTTTTCCCTATCTAGAATTGGTCAGTTCGGTCCAGATCCCAGTTATAGTTTGAGAACTAAATGTTAGTTCAATTCTTACAAGGTTTTTTTTTTGGATAAAATATAAAAACCTCAATCGCGTTTTCCTTCTCTGTTCAGTTTCCTTCTTCATTCCAGTTTTCCTTCTCTTCCATTTCTTTAATTCTTCCTTCTCTCTTCTGTTAGTTTTTTGATTAATTGATTATTTCCTTCTCAAACCAAATTAGAATATTTGATAAATCTATACCTAGATAATTTTATAGATACTATATAATTTTATTCCCAAGATGCAAAGTGCAAACCATACAAAAAATTTTGCGGCTACTTTTCTTTTAATCTTTATATAGTATGTGCGGTTCTTCTATATTTTGTTAAAAGTGTCGTGTGGACAACATCTTTTGAATTTTTTACTAGTGAACATTTTATTTTGACATTTTCAATGTAAAGAATTGGGCTTGACCGAATAGAAATCGGTTGGTTTGACGCCAGTTCGATTTCATAATTGATATGAAACCAATGGTTCCAATTTTAAGATTCCTATTGATACTCAATTCGATTTGATTCCCTTCAAAATCGGACAGCGTCCACTCCTAGAAATTATGTATCCAAATAAAATAAGTAAAGTCAGAGATAAGTATCAAAATTCTTTAATAAAGAATATGGGGCCGTGGAAGGAAGTGAATAACATTTACAATCATGATATATGTATATTATAGTTGACACCTTCTTTACATTCTTCTACATGTTATCATCTTATCCTTTGATTTCCACAACAATCTTTCACATCACTGTCCAAATTGTACCACATATGACGAAATAGGGGTGAACACGGTTCTGTTTAGATGTTTTGAGATAAATTTTCAAACCAAATTAAACCATTTCGATTTCTAAATAAAACCAATCCAAACTTTTTTTTTTTTTTTTTGGTTTGGTTCGATTTAAAACCATTGTTTAACAAAGAAAAAATAATATACATCGAATAAATTAAATCATAAATATTAGTCTACAATTTCACGTTAAACATAAATTATATCATTAAAAATATTACAAATCAAAGTTATATAAGTATAATCATTATAATGTAATGACATGATAGAAATATTTTAAACTCTTGGTCGATACTAATTGGCGTGCATAAGCAATTGTAATACACTATTCATTCTCTCCATAATGATAAGAATATAGTATATGAATTCATTGATTATATATAGTTAAATGATATAAAATAACTAATAAATAAAAATATCAAATACGATAATATCTAGCTACTGTAACTTTTTGTGAATCGTCAAACACTTTTACTTCATCCAAATATTGACGAATTATTGTAAGTTTCCTGTTATTATGCAACCAAATTTTAGAGCATATCACTACTTCAACCTTATTTGCACTCAATAAACTCATAAAGAAATTAATAATTCGACCACTAATAAGGAATGTAAACTCAAAAATAATTATAGATATTTGAATAGTTAACATATCTTTAGCAATTTGAAGAATAATCTTATATTTATTTGCATTCAATTTCCACCAAAGTAATATGTCGAAAGGTTCATGGGTCAAATCTTCAAAACTATCATTTAAGTAATCCACAAAATCATTCTAACAATTAATAGTAAAAATAAGAAACTAAGTTAAAATGTAAATAATAATTAATTGAGTGACTTGACCGAGAAATTGAGATGCAAATAAACAAAAAATACTGTCACCTAAAAATTTAAGGGAGCCTGACAATAATTAGAACAAAACAACATAACTACCAATAAAAACATAGCAAATAATTACCGAAAAATAATATATATTTTTGGATAATCTGACTTGAAAATTTAGGCGAAATTCGAGAAAATTATTAGTAGAATGAAATAAAATGTGTAAGTTTGCATTAAAATCTAGATTTAGGGTGTGTTTGAGCCACATTATTTTGGAAGAATGTATTTTGGAATAGTAGATGAATGGAGAATGTGTGGTTGAAAAAAAATGAAAATTTATTGATGTGATGGAAACTATTATTTTATTGACGAATGTGTTGTTGAAAAT